GACGACGGACAACGAGGTGCGCGCCGGGGACAGCCGGCGAACGCGGACGAGCAACACGACGACTGGTACGACCAGAACGAACAGGCGAGACAGGACGCGACGCAGGCTCACGACGCTCAGCAAGACCCCCTAGCTTCTCGGTGTAAGGAGAAGGAGCAGGCAGCGGGGAGTCAGGCTGTAACGGAAGACCAGTAGAAGACGGGAGGCTAAGAACCTGGCGAAGCACAGAGTCAGGCGGTGGCGGAGACGACGGAGACGGCGGAGCGAAGAACAGTCTCGGCTGCGCCGTGCCACCAGTACCAGCAGCTCCAGCGCCTCCAGCAGCTCCAGCACCTCCAGCGCCAGCACCTCCAGCAGCGCCACCAGGAGCAGCACCCCCACAACGGGCACCTCCAGTCCCAGGGTCTCCAACCGCAGCGTCTCCCGCAGCAGCACCCCCAGAACCGGTACCTCCAGTCCCAGGGTCTCCAGCCTCAGTGTCTCCAGCAGCAGCACCCCCAGACACAGCACCTCCAGTCCCAGCAGCTCCAGTACTGCCAGTACGAGCACCTGCTGGACCAGCAAATCCAGCACCTCCAATAGACAAAGCACCAGCACCACTCCTAGCTCCAGTGGCGTCAGCAGAAGCACCTCCAGCGGCAGAGCCCCGAGCTCCAGCAGCGCGAACCTGACGGCGACCGTACCAGTCGTGCAGCCACTGTGAGGTGAGAGGCACACGCGGACGAAGGCGGCCACTCCAAGGAGACCGCGCACCAGCAGTCTCAGTACCCTCAGGCGCCGCACCCCCAGACTCAGCACCCCCAGGCTCCTCACGCACAGGCTCAGATCCCCCAGACTCAGCACTCCCAGGCTCCTCACGCTCAGGCTCCGCACCCCCAGGCTCCGCACCCCCAGGGACAGCGCTGGCTCCAGTGCCTCCAACACCAGCGCCTCCCGTAGCATGGCCCCCAGCTCCAGCAGCTCGACCCTGACAGCAAACGTGCCACTCACGCAGCTGCTGTGGGGAGAGAGGGAGACGACGACGAGAGGGCAGCGGCGAGGCACCAGCGGAGCGGCTACGGAGACGGTCGCTCCAGGGAGACAGCTCACCAGACGCCCTAGCGCCCCCAGGTGCAGCACCCCCAGACGCAGTACCCCCAGGCTCAGCACCCCCAGACTCCGTACCCCCAGGCTCAGCACCCCCAGGCGCAGCACCCCCAGGCGCAGCACCCCCAGGCGCAGCACCCCCAGAAGCAGCACCCCGAGCAGGACCACCCTCAGCAGGACCTGAGTCACCAGTGACCTCAACCGGCGCAGTCAAGGGAGGAGGGTCTACCTGAGACACACCTGAAGGAGCAGGACCAGGAGCGGGGAGGGGGTCTACCTGGGGAGCACCTGGAGCGAGGAAGAGCGGCGGGGGGGGGAGAGGGGCAGTGCGGTAGGGGAAGAGACGGTAAAAGGGAACCGACTCGTCGAACGTGACGTCCTGAGAGGGGAAGACACGGCGCAAGGTGGGGTGGTAAAACTGCCAACCAGGCGCGTCAGGGACAAAGCCAAGGAAGACACAGGGAACAGCGCGGGCGGAGAGCTTGTCCGCGGTGGTATCGCGGACAAAGGCACAAGAACCCTAGACCCGGAACACCGACACATCGCCAACCTCCCCCGTCCACAGCAGTGTGGGCGAGGTCTCCGGCAAGGAGACACGGGGCCAAAGGTTGAGCTGATGGGCGGCTAGCGGACCGCAAACGGCCACAGAAAATGGGGGGCAGCCGCATGGACCATGGAGGTACGAGCGACCTCCATGACCAAGCCAATGCGGCGCTCAGCAACCCCATTCTGCTGTGGAGAGGCCGGAAGCGTGAACGTCTGGCGAATGCCCTCCCCACGACAAAAGCTCTGCAGAAGGTCGGAGGAAAACTCCCCACCTCTGTCAGAGTGCAGACGCAGGACGGAAAACTCCGTCCCGAACCGCTCGCGGAGCTGGAGACGGGCAGCGCGGATCCAAGGGATCAAAACATCAGGGACCTCACCCTTGGTGCGCAAGGGGAAGACCGTGGTGTAACGCGAGTAGTCGTCGACAACCAGCAGAAAGTACCACTCGCGGCCATGTCCAGTGATGCGGACTGGGCCCCACACATCCATATGCAGGGTCTGCAGGGGAGCAGACGTCGAGGGAAACGAGGAGGAGTGAGGAGCGGCGCGCTGCCGCCCCTCGACACAGGGAAGACAGGGAGGAGCAGGCGAGGGTGGGAGGGGAGGGAGAACCCTGGGAAGACCAGAGACAAGGACCCGGCGGTGCATGCTACGAAGGCGCTGCACCGAGGGGTGACCAAGACGGTGGTGCCAAAGGAGGGTCTGGTGCGACAAAGCGCGACACGAGCAGGGGGGCGCTAGCTGACCTGACGCAGACGCAGACGCAGCGACCTGAGGGGACACAGTAGTCAGTGTGTACAGACTCGAGCCAGGCGCACGGGTAAACGTGGCCAGGTGCCGGCCCATCTGGGAGCACGTACAGTGGGTCACGCGCTGACCTCCAGGAGTGAACTGGTCAACCCACTGGTCCTGGAGGTCAGCACCACTCACCAAGTTCGTAGAGAACGAGGGGAGGTGAAGACCTGACAGGGAGCCAGACGGGACCGCCGGACACGGCAGGACCGTGGAGGAGTGCGCAAGGACTGGACCCCCAGAGGGGTCTGCCAGGGAGACTGCAACCGGCCGACTGAGCGGCGTGAGGGTGGTGCTGTCGCGAAAGAAGGAGCGGGAAGCACCTGAGTCAAGCGTGAAGGTGTACAAGGCCTCAGCAGGCGCAGTACCAGAGAGAGCAGACTCACCAGCACCTGGAGCAGCAGACTCACCAGCACCTAGAGCAGGAGACGCACTAGCACCTAGAGCAGCAGCCTCACCAGCACCAAGAGCAGGAGACGCACTAGCACCTAGAGCAGCAGCCTCACCAGCACCTAGAGCAGGAGACGCACTAGCACCTAGAGCAGCAGCCTCTATACCTGGGTCAGGCGGCACACACAGGTAACAGGCACCGTTAGTACTAGTAGGCAATGCATACATGGCAGTGAGAATAGCATCATAGTCAAGAGCAAAGATATCTACCCTCTGCCTAAGTAGCTCCAGCCAGGTGGGGAGCTCAGCCTCGTCGCCAAACTCGGTACGCCAGGCGTCGCTTGGACGGGCGAAGCAGCGGGACTGTGTGTGACCAAGCGTCCCGCAAGCCTGACCAGCCCGATCACCTGTGCGAATGACGTACGGGCAGCGAACGGTACTCTGAGACCCTCTACTCTGAGCGTACCACTCATGAAGCTGCTGGGGCGTAAGTGTCTCGCGCGGACGCCGCTGCAGCTGCAGCTGGCCACTGCCAGACACTCCCGACTGACCAGCTCCAGGGCGACAGCTACGACGGCTACCGCCACAACCCCAACTAGCGTACCACTCACGAAGCTGCTGGGGCGTGAGAGACTCGCGCGGACGTCGCTGGAGCTGCATCTGGCCACCGCCAGCAGAAGCAGTAGTAGCAGCAGCAGCAGCAGCAGCAGTGACAGCGCGGGCAGGGCAGGCAGGCAGGCAGGCAGGCAGGAAGGCAGGCAGGCAGGCAGGCCGGCAGGCAGGCAGGCAGACAGGCAGACAGGCAGGCAGGCAGGCAGGCAGGCAGGCGGCGCGGCAGCGCGCTAACAAGGCAGGCGCGCGGGAAGCGCGGGTAGGGCAGGCGCTCACCAGTGGCGGGCAGGGCCGGCGCTCGGCGGGCGGCGGCCGGGTAGGCGCACGACGGCGGCGACGGCGGGGCCGCAACAGCGGCTGCAGAGTAGGGCCGCGTCAGCTGCAGGGCGGGGCCGTGTCGGCGGCAGGGCGGGGCCAGGCGGGGCCGCGTCGGCGGCAAGGCGGGGTCGCGACAACGGCAGGGCGGGGCCGCGTCGGCGGCACGACGAGGCCGCGACAGCGGCAGGGCGGGGCCGCGTCAGCAGCAGGGTGGGGTCACGTTGGCGGCAGGGCGGGGCCGCGACAGCGGCAGGGCGGGGCCGCGTCAGTGACCTGGCGGGGCCGCGTCAGTGGCAGGGCGGGGCCGCGTCAGCGACCAGGCGGGGTCGCGTCGGCGGCAGGGCGGCGCGCGGGGCTGCAGCGGGCCGCGCGCGGGCTGCCAAGGCGCGGCGCGGGCTGCGTAGGCGGCGCGCGGGGCTGCAGTGGGCCGCGCGCGGGCTGCCGTGGCTCGGTGCGTGCTGCGCAAGCGGCGCGCAGGGCAGCAGCGGGCCGCGCGCGAGCTGCCGAGGCGCGGTGCGCGCAGCTAGGGCGACGCGCGGGGCAGAAGCGAGCCGCGCGCGGGCTGCCGAGGCGCGACGCGAGCAGCGAGGGCGACGCGCGGGGCAAAAACGGGCAGCGCGCAGGAATTAGGTCTGCGCGCGTGAAGCAGCAGCAGACAGCTCAAACAGCAGACAGCAGGCAGCAGGAAGACGGCGCGCGCAGCGCAGCACGTCACAGGCACAGTCACAGTCACAGTCGTGGGGTAGCGGTAGGTGGGCCCGAAAAAAAAAGACAGTCCTATGGACCTACTGCTCTCATACCATGACAGAAGTCTAGGCAGTAATGAATGCATTGAAAGAGAGTTGGGTACAAGTATCAAACCCTAGAGGGGTTGTACCCCATATTGGCTACCCCACTACAGCCTACACAAATACAACATATATAATGTTTGACAAGTACATGCCATTCAATATTTTCCCTAACCCACCTCACGACCACCCTAGCCCCCAAAACGCCTGCCTGCACCAGATGAAACCTTCTACTCAACTACGGTATGTTACGGTACCTCAAATAATGCTATTGCCGCCCTCACGATTACCTCAGCCTACACAATCACATTCTAGTAGTCACATTCCGTGTCCCCCAGCTGCCTGAATAGCCAGCACTGCAGCACAGGGAAGTGGGGTGTACCCGTGGGGGCATGTGGCAGGCTGGGAGGACGACCTAGTGACACTTGGGAGCAGCCCGGAGGAAGTGGAAGAGGCAACAGGCATTGTATGGGAGTGGGCTGCACAGCTGTGAAGCTGGAAAGCATTGCTGTGCACTGTGGAGCACACGGACAGCCACGTAGAGGCATAGGTGGTGAGGCTTCTCTGGTGCTGCAAACGGAATGGCGGGCTTGATTGATGCTGCTGCACTGCAGCCAGCCACGTGTAGGGCACAGAGAGGGCAGAGGGGGCAGAGGGGGCGGAGGAGGGGGCGGAGGAGGGGGCGGAGGAGGGGCCGGAGGAGGGGGCGGAGGAGGGGGCGGAGGAGGGGGCGGAGGAGGGGGCGGAGGAGGGGGCGGAGGAGGGGGCGGAGGAGGGGGCGGAGGAGGGGGCGGAGGAGGGGGGGAGGAGGGGGCGGAGGAGGGGGCGGAGGAGGGGGCGGAGGAGGGGGCGGAGGACGGGGCGGAGGACGGGGCGGAGGACGGGGCGGAGGACGGGGCGGAGGACGGGGCGGAGGACGGGGCGGAGGACGGGGCGGAGGACGGGGCGGAGGACGGGGCGGAGGACGGGGCGGAGGACGGGGCGGAGGACGGGGCGGAGGACGGGGCGGAGGACGGGGCGGAGGACGGGGCGGAGGACGGGGCGGAGGACGGGGCGGAGGACGGGGCGGAGGACGGGGCGGAGGACGGGGCGGAGGACGGGGCGGAGGACGGGGCGGAGGACGGGGCGGAGGACGGGGCGGGGCGGGGGCGGGGCGGGGGCGGAGGGCGGAGGGGGGGCGGAGGGGGCGGAGGGGGGGAGGGGGGGCGGAGGGGGCGGAGGGGGCGGAGGGGGCGGAGGGGGCGGAGGGGGCGGAGGGGGCGGAGGGGGCGGAGGGGGCGGAGGGGGCGGAGGGGGCGGAGGGGGCGGAGGGGGCGGAGGGGGCAGGGGGGCAGAGGGGGCAGAGGGGGCAGAGGGGGCAGAGGGGGCAGAGGGGGCAGAGGGGGCAGAGGGGGCAGAGGGGGCAGAGGGGGCAGAGGGGGCAGAGGGGGCAGAGGGGGCAGAGGGGGCAGAGGGAGAGGCAAAGTAGTATACGCCACTCTGCTGCGCTCTCCGCATCGACCTCATCGCGCTCTCCGTTCCCCGCTCCGCTGCTACTCCGCGCTAAGCCGCGCCAAGCAATTCAAACGATGAGCCGCGCCGAGCCGCTAAATCGCTAAGCCGCGGAGGTCCAGCTCACTGCGAGCTGGTCGCCGGGCGACGTGCGATTCGCTGTGCATGGCAGGCAGGCAGGCAGGCAGGCAGGCAGGCAGGCAGGCAATGGAAAGGATGGGGGGGCGAGATGGGTGCTCGGGTGATGCGCAGGTGGATGGGCGAGCCTGTGCAGCCCATGCATGCATAAGTGAGCAGAGGCAGGCAATGGGCGGATGAAAATGGGTTATGAACTGGCAAAGCAGATATGAAGTTAACAGGACAGCTGGCAATGGCGACTGCACATGGCAGTGAGGGATTTGGGTGGGAAATAGTGATGAGAAATCAACGACCAAGAGACATGGGGAAAGTAGCAGGGAAAAAGGCAATAACAAGTTGGCTTGAACCTGGCAATGGCAACCAGATTGTACAGAATGAAATGAGAAATCGACTGGAAAAGTGGCGATGGGAACTTGGCAAGATGAATGGCAGTAAGAAGCTGACTAGACAAGTGAAGAGGGCAGGAGAAGTGGTAATATGAAAGGACTCAGCAGGAGGTGCATGGACGATTGCAGAGCAGACGATTGCAATGGGGAAATTGACGGGGAAAAAAAAAGGAGGGAGAGATATGATGTTTTCTTGGGACAGCTCACATGCAAGGCAAGGGCAGAGAAGGCTGGATCAAAACACATGGTGGTGGGAAGAATGGGGATTTTAACTGAGAAGAATCTGACCGGGGAATTGGACTGAGGGGAATCAGACTAAGTGGAAGCAGACTGATGGAAGCAGACTGAAGGGAAATCATAAAAAAGAGACTGACAAGGGGGAACCTTACTGGGGAACCTAATTGGGGAATCTGACTGGGGAACCTGATTGGGGAATCTGACTGGGGAACCTGATTGGGGAATCTGACTGGGGAACCTGATTGGGGAATCTGACTGGGGAACCTGATTGGGGAATCTGACTGGAGAATCTGACTGGGGGATCTGACTGAAAACCTGACTGAGTGGTCTGACTGGGAAATTGACTAGGGAATGTGACAGGGGAATCTGACTAGGGAATCTGACTGGGGAATGTGACAGGAAAATCTGACTGGAGAATTTGACTGGGGGATTGGACTAAAAACCTGACTGAGTAATCTGACTGGGAAACTTGAATGGGAAAATTGACTAGGATACCTGTCTTGTAATCTGACTGAATGGAAATTAACTGAAGGGAAATCGTCACAACAAAGAGACTGACAGTGGGAAGAATGAAGAAAAATCAGAAAATTGGCAATGAGGTAATAGGAAAAAGGAAAATGACAATAGCAAAACCAGCAGAGGATAATTGAAAGTAACTTCGATTGAGAGATTCCTAAGGCAGCTAATACCGTGGAGGAATGATGGTGGGGGATGAAAACGGGTTGATGAAAATGCGAAGATGGCTGTTTGAAAATGACAATGGGAACATGACATGACAGTTGCATGGTGAGAGTGCAAGCACGAGAATGGGAGCATGAGAGCAGAGAATGGTGTCATTGAGATCATGTCATGGGAAAACGGCAATGAGATCATGTCATGGGGAAAAGGGCAATGAGATCATGGGGAAAACGGCAATGGGAATCTGACAGTGAGAAGAGCGGCAACAAGAAAATGATGGTAAGAAGGTTTAAGATGAGCATTGAGCGATTTTAGGAAAACCAGGGGAGTGAGAATGGCCCGAGGGAGATGACAACAGCAACGGCCCAACTTCAAACCGTCCACACTCCCCTCCTCCCGCCTCACCCCTCCATCCCTCCCTCCAACCAACACCAGCTAGTGCAAGGGAATGACACCACATATGACCTTTGCAATATAAATGATAAACTAAGAACACAGTGAAACTAAACTAAAAACAAGTTTCTAAGTTCTAAATGGCGGAACGAAAGCAGTTGAAGCAGATCTATCGCCATGCTGACCACATGCGTCCACCTCTCGTGCCATCTCTCCCACAACACCCTGCAAGCAGGGTGCAAAAAGGGGTAAGTCCCGCCATGCGCCTGCCACCAGCCCCACCAGCCCCACCAGCCATGCTCATCCCACCAGCCATGCTCATCCCACCAGCCATGCTCATCCCACCAGCCATGCTCATCCCACCAGCCATGCTCATCCCACCCGCTGAATGCTTCCCTCCCCATCCCACCAGAATGGCTCATAATCTGCTCCCTGCTACCGTTGCTGCTGCTGCTGTTGCTGCTGCTGCTGCTGCTGCTGCTGCTGCTGCTGCAACTCACTGCTGCCATTGCTGCTGCTATTGCTGCTGCTTCACCGTGCTGCTGCTGCTGCTGCTGCTGCACTGCTGCCATTGCTGCTGCTATTGCTGCTGCTTCACCGTGCTGCTGCTGCTGCTGCTGCTGCTACTCCTGCTGCTGCTTCAGTGTTCGGCCTTCACTGCTTCTGAGGGGTGCTGCTGTGAGTGGCTTGGGAATGCGAGTAGCGGCCACTGCTGCTGCTGGAGCAGCCGGTTTACGAGTGCTGTGAGGCGCAGCCTGCACTGCCTTAGCCGCTGCACCCGTGTGCGCTGCCCTGCTCTGCCCAAGCTTAGGGATTAGAGTCACACCACCGCCACCACGCCCTGAACTCTCGCCCAAACCTGCTGCTCGCCCTCCTGCTGCCTCCACTCTTCCCAATGCCGCCTTCCCTGCTGCTGCTACACGCACTGCCGTGTGTGCTGCCCTCTCATTGCCCTGCTCCCTCGCCTTCTCTCCTGCTGCTTTTGTTGGCACCTTCCCCGCTGGGCTGCTCTTAGCAGAAACACTCTTAGCAGCTGCAGACGTCACACGTGTGGCATTGGCTGGCGTTCCTTTAGCTGCAGCAGCTGCAGGCTTCACGCTCTTCACAGCAGCTACATGCTTCACAGCAGCAGCCGCTGTAGCCTTGGCTGACGATCCCCTGGCTGCTGCAGGAATAACTGGAACAGCCCTGACAGCAACACTCTTCACAGCGGCGGTCTTCACGTTAACAGCAGCGGAGGTGACAGCAGCGGTGGTGACAGCAGCGCTGCTGACAGCAGCGATCTGCGCAGTAGCGGAGGTGACAGCAGCGGTGGTGACAGCAGCGGTGGTGACAGCAGCGCGCGCACCCATGACGTGCGTGGGCGTGGGCGTGTTGCTGCGCGGCTGACTCGCGGGGTTGGTGGGTCGCAGCGGGGAGAAGCCCAGCGACGCACGAGGGAAGCGCGCAGTGCTCTGCTCGTCCTCGTTCAACCGCCCCACGCGCACCGCAACGGCGTGCAGCCGCTGCTGCCGCCTCTTGCTCATGCACAAATCTGCGCTGCTTCCACGCTTCGACCTGCTGCGGTCGCTGCCGTTGCTGCTGCTGCTGCTGCTGCTGCTGCTGCTGCTGCTGCCGATGCTGCTGCTGCTGCGAATGATACTGCTGCCGACAGTGCTGCTGCTGGCAATGCTAGCGATGCTGCTGTCGCCGCCGTCGCTGCTGATGATGCTGCTACCGTTGCTGCAGCTGCTGGTGCTGTTCAGAGTGTTGCTGGCAGCAGGTGCAGCTCCGAACGTGAGGGCCACAACGGGCTCAACAAAGGCAATCCCCGGGACGTACAGCCATGTTTGCTCGGATTCGTTGTAGTCCTTCCAAAACTCATGATCGATGGATGTATCTTCACCCATCGAGAATCCCAGCGGGCCAGACAGCCAGGTGCAGTCTTCCTCGGAGAAATCCTTCCAGAACTCGTGATCTAGGCCCAAGGACGTCAGCGGTGCGTACAGCCACGTGCCATCCGCCTCGCTGAAGTCCTTCCAGAATTCGTAATCGATTGAGGGGCTCGTAAACTGGAAAGCTGAGGCGGTTCGCGAGGCCATTGTACGAGCGGGATGCTAAGCAACAAGGAAAATACAAGTCTCGAGAAGTTGGTAAGGGATAGCAGGTGTCAGAAGGAAGCCAGGACTCGAACAGATGTTGTGGTTTGAATGGATATGACGAGTGGCTTTCTAGTGTTGGGAAGGCACGATCAGCTCCAAGGCGAAAGGGTGGATGGAGCAGTCGCATACGCTGGGCAGGCGAGAGGAAGCAGTTGCTGCCCACAATAGAAATTTTAGACATCCCGTGTAGCGCGTGCCCTGGTTTGTGGTTCGTGCCGAACCTACGGAGAGGTCGGGCAGCCAATGGCATGCTACCCGATTTCTTTGCTCCAAGCGCGATCTCAGGATTTGCCGCCGCTGAATGCCAAGCCGAGGGCCCAGCCCAAGTCCTCCAACCAGCGCGGTTTTGGGCAGCGAACTCTCGGCGTTTTTTTGCTGCCCAAACTCGCCAGTCGTCCTTCCGTCAAGCTCGCTGCTGCTGAACCGGCGATTCGACTGCGGAAACACGCTTGTTCTCGGTTGACTGAATGAGGGGTTCCTATGGGTGTTGTCTCCGACTGAAACTATGCTCGAGGCTGCCATGGCTTGTGTTTCATTCCGTCAACGTCAACGAACGGGAAGAACGAACTACCTAGCAACAATCAGCGGACGCGAATGAGACGGAGGGCGATTGGATCGAACTACGGCGTGGCGCGTATTAATCGAAAGATTGCTGTGTTCGCCCAGGAATCGGACGGTCGCCAGCAACTTAGGAGATCTGGAAGTGCTGAGAAAACTAGGCTCGATGCACTAGGGTTCCATTTTCAAGTTGCCCGTCGAGGCTGCCAAGGTTGGGATGAGAACAAGAAAAGCGAATGGTTCTATGTGCAGATCCGTTATGTTTACATTGACATTTATAAACTTTACGTATATCCTTCAACAACTTAGTAGGATCAATATCATTAAGGTCGAAGAGAAAATGACATGCTCTGGAAACACTAGAGCTTTTGCATTTTGAAATCATTGGGAAGCTCATCCTTGTGTGGCGGATCCTGTGAGTTCTTTGTTAATGTCAAGCCAACAAAAAGTTCATTTACCACAACCAGGTGAACGCATTCTCTGCGCAAGTCTATTCACGCCCAACAGCTTGTGGTACGGTAATTGGATTTGACCTTCAAACTGAAGCCAG